GAGGAGCCAAATATGGTACATGGATAGTGGCTGCTCAAAACACATGACTGGGAACAAGGACCAGTTCCTTTCACTTGAGAACCTGAAAGGAGGTAATGTCTCCTTTGGAAATGGAAAGAAAGGTGAGATCATTGGGGTGGAAAGGGTAGGTAAGACAGACTCCCATTCCATTGAGAATGTCTACTTGATAGATGGCTTGAAATATAGCCTAATCAGTGTGTCACAACTGTGTGACAGAGGTAATCTTGTAGCCTTCACCTCTACCAAATGTTTTGTGATTAACCTTACCACTGACAAGATTTTTTTGCAGGGAAGAAGAGTTAACAATATTTACATTGTAGATTTGTCAACTCTTTCAGAAAATGAACTCACTTGCTTAAGTGTGTTAGTTAATGATCCCCTCCTATGGCACAAAAGACTTGGTCATGCCAGTCTAAATCAGCTAAACAAATTAGTCTCCAAGGACTTGGTGATAGGGTTACCTAATATCAGGTTCAAGGAAGACAAAGTTTGTGAGGCATGTGCAAGGGGGAAGCAGGTAAGGTCACCCTTCAAATCCAAGAAAATGGTAAGTACGTCTAAGACGTTGGAACTGGTTCATATGGATCTTTGTGGTCCAATGAGAAACTTGAGCAGAGGTGGAAAGAAATATGTGATGGTGCTTGTTGATGATTATTCTAGATTTACCTGGGTACTATTTCTAACATCCAAAGATGAGGCATTTGAAATGTTTACTGCCTTTGTTAGAAAAACTCAGAAACAATTAGGAAATCAACTTGCATCCATTAGGTCTGATCATGGAACTGAATTTGAAAATGTAAAATTTGCTGAATATTGTGATGAAAATGGTATAGATCACAACTTCTCTGCCCCTCGAACTCCTCAGCAAAATGGTGTAGTTGAAAGAAAGAATAGGACCCTTGAGGATATGGCAAGGACCATGCTTCTCTCTAGCAAATTACCCCACAGCTTCTGGGCAGAGGCTGTAAACACTGCATGTTACATAATCAATAGATGCATGACTAGACCTCTTGTTGAGAAAACTCCCTATGAATTACTTAAAGGGAGAAAACCAAACATAGCCCACCTTAGGGCATTTGGTTGCAAGTGCTATGT